AGACAGGGAACCTTCCAAATGATAGCTGCTATCACCATCATCACCATCATCATCATCATCATCTCATGATGGTTGAATGAACCATTTTTTTTTTGCAATTAAGTTAGAATATTCTCATATAGTCTGTGTCTTTTGACTGGGGAGTTCAGTCCATTAATGTTTAAAGTTATTAATGAAAGATGAGTATTGAATCCTGTCATTTTTTTTGTTTATATTCTTGCTATAGTTGTACTTTTACACTGTTATACTCTCCTTGGAGTTCTTTCTGCAACCCCTCACATTTGCTCTCCTGTGCACTCCAGTGTCCATGAAGCACTCACATCTTTCAAGGAGACTCCATGGTGAGACTCCTCTTTCCTTTCACATTCCTGTTAATCAATCCCAGTTTTGCCTGCCAAATGAAGAGCTTCATCAGCTTCCCATGACCTATGCGTGTGGTGTCTTTAGCAATAGGTTCCTTCCCTCTAGTTCTGGTGCAAAACTAATTTCAGTGACAGTAGCCTGTATTGTTTTGAGGGTTTATTGTACATCCTGGACTAACAACTCTAAGAGAGACTTTCCATATCTAATATCGGGCATTGTTTGATAGTCTGTGGTTTCTGGAGGAGGATTATCATCCCCTTTTTCTATTACACATTTTTACAAATGTCAGAAAATCCGTTACTTAAGGCAAAATCAACGCATCTATAATTTGGATTTCAATAAGCTTAAAACAACCTGAGGTATTTAAACAATTCAATTTTTCTGTCCTTGAAAAATGACTTGGGAAACCCTGAAGGTGGAACACACAGAATTCCTGTGGATCAAGATAAATCACTCTCAATAGCCTATAAACATAGTTTATTTATATACTTACAAAACTTTGCTGTATTATTGATAACCTAATGTCAGTTAAGTCAAAAAATATATGTGGAATATATCTGAAAAAAGCTCTCTTCTGAACTGGAAACAACGTGTTAACATCAGTTGAAGCAAGCATGACCCTGAGGAGCTGACAACAATTTTCTGTCACTGAAATCCAAAGAACTGAGAATGAGCTGCTATTCCGATTTGTTCTAAGTCAGCTCTCAGATCTGAGGACCAGAGAGCTCACTGTAATGCTATTAATTTTCAACACTAATAACCCCCATAAAATACATTTAAAAGTACAGTGCACAGGGCACATGCATTGTTTGATTCATTTTATTTCATTTTACTGTATTAGTCTTTGTATCCACAACTTTGTTTATCCAAGGTCATTTGAATGGACACCTACAAGTCTGTGGTATTGAAAAAAATTTAAAAATCTTCCCTGGACAGCAGTCATAAGTTTTCCTTTTTATTTTTTCAAATTTCTGACAGATATAAAGATTTCCTAAGAATAAATTTGGAAGAAGTTTACAGAGTTGTCAGATACTGCATATGAATGCTTTTCATGATCCATAAAGAAGACAACCTAGTCAACTTTATTTGTGATAGGGGAGTGCAAATTAAGAGCATAGTGAGATACCCTCTGTGACAGTAGAATGGCTGAAATTATGAGGGTGGAGATTGCTGAGCGTGACCCAGATGTGGTGCATCTCTCTGTTGAGTGTCACACTGTGGTAGACTATACACTAGTTTCCACAGTTGCATCAATTCTGGAGCATGCACACGTTATAACTAAGCAGTCCTACTCCAAAAACTATAACCAAAATACTTAAATTTGTGTTTACCCCCAAATATTTAGAGAACTGTCTATAGCAGCATTCTCCATGAGAGACAGACTTAGAAGCAGCATACATGCCCAACCAGCACCATAGTAGATAAACAGCCCATTGTCATAGTCAAGCAACAAAAGCCAGTGTGGGGTGGAAAATGTGCTCTGCTGTTACCATGTGCCCAAATGAATGCTTCTCAGAAGGTGTTGAATGGAAGGAAAGCAGCAGAGACAGAGACAGCAGTGCATAGTTTTGTCTGCAGCTGTTTCATGTCATAGTAATTGTTACATAGGGGCTTGTAAAGCACAGGGAAAAGGAGTAGGGTACACATGAAGAAAGGATATGGAGACAGAAAACTTATGATGAAACGATTTTGCAATTATCTGTAAGATGAATACATGCACAAACATATATGTTTAATTGTTAATTAAGAATGTTGCAACACCAAAAGCTAAAGCAATTCAGTTTTGCCTGAATTTGACAACTTTGAAAGGTCAGAGAGTCAACATAACTCCTTCAGAACGGCCTCCTGGGAAAGTTCAGCTTTGGCTTCTTCACAGCCTCAGGTTAATTGCCATGTTGGGAGACCTGTGTCCCAGGGACCTTTCAGGCACAGTGGCCTGTGTCCTTGTTGAATCTTCCTTGATTTGCTGATCTTCCAGGAAGTTTCAAAAGGCAGCACCTGCAGCCCACACTAGGCCAGAGACACTGACTACTACTCAAGGTAATAACATGTGAGCTCTGAGGCTCAGATTTCATTTTTATTTCAAAGGAGCAGATTATCTGTATTAAAAACTAGGGGAGCTTCTTAATATGTCAACCATCTCTCATATAGATGGCTTTACTTTATTTCTATACATGTGGTTGTTCTTAATCCCAATATAAATTGAGACTCTGATTCAAGTGATGCTCACTTGGAGTAAAAGAGGCACTATGGATTTAACATGCGGTTAGGAATGCAGCAGAGGGAGAAATGATTCTTCTAAAACCCCACAACGACAGATTCTGCTAAATCGGGTCCATGAATGTCCATTGATCCCATCACATTCTTTGGAAGCAGTCTGTGCTGTGAGTGCCATAAAAATAATGTAAGATGTTTCACTTGACCCAGATGGGAAAGGTGCCCATGAGCAAGAGTGGGACAGAAATGATGTATCTGCCTTTATTTCAATTTCACCCCTTTGATGGAAAAAAAGATAAAATAGAATCCATGTTTGTGTTTGTAAGGGCACATGTGTTTGTGAACGTGAATCCATTTATTAGAATTAGAACTATATATTCAATGCATACAAATTTAATATATGTTATGTGTATGCTCTATATGCATACATATGTTTGCAATATGCAAAAATAGTGTACACATATTAGTGTTTGTGTGTATGAATTTAACCCTACAACATACTGTGCAATTGCACACATTGATTTGTCCTTCAGTGTCCCTTTACATTCTCTTTTAATCACTGTTCTATCCTCTCCCTATCCTCAGAGACCACCCAGAGCCTTCATGTAGTTTCCGGTTAGCAAATTTCTTGATGCCTCACTTGACCCTTCCCTGACATCATTTGCATTCAGTTTTCTACCAATTTTACATAATTAATAAAATTTATGAATATTTTTGAATTATTTCCTACAAGATACTTCCAGGATTAATTTTCCCATGCAGTTACAATGAGAGAAGAGTGATTTTGATGGTGTCAGGTTGACCAGCTGTATCAAATATGATGCACAGTTATGTTCTCTGGGTGTAATGTGAAATAGCATCTGCTTCTTGTATTTGAAACTATTTAAAGTTTTCGGAAACTCTTTTTGTCTTTTAGAAGTAAAATTTTCTGCTGATTTGGTGCACAATGAGGCAGACTCCTCTGTCTGCCTGAGGAGCCTTGGTAACAACAGGGTATGCGCCCCACATTCTGATTCAGCCATTTCAGTCAATACACAAGGGACAGAGGGCCAGTAACTCCTTTCTACAACCACACATCTGAGGAAGGGGAGCTGTGGGAACACAGGGTCTGATCCAGGTTCCCCATGAGCTTGTAGGTTGAATGAATTAATGATTCCCATAGTAAACCTGCTTCTGAAATTGTGTGTCCATATGATTAACATTTTGGAGATAAGGAACTTTGACATTTTATGGTAAAAGTAACATTTATAATCTTCAGAACCTGCCATTCACATAAAAATCACCCAAAGGTTTGGTCAGTTCAATGGCTGCGATTGAAGAATGGGGATGTTTTCTTTATATCATTAGCTCATGCTGAACATTGAAGAAGCTCAGCTTTTCCATTTAATCTGAATGAATTGCCACTGGTTGTGAATGGATGGAGCACATTTTAATCTTTGGATGGTCTCCTTATTTGATCCTGTGGCAAACTGTGTCTCAGTTTCTAATGGTTACCACCGGGGACAAGCCTGTGCTGTGCAGTGGCCTCCATGTGCCTCCCTGGGAACTCAGGCTCTTTTTGTAACATCATCAGCTGCAGCTTCTGAACACTGCAATTTTCCCCAACATTAGCATTTTAAATTATCATTGAGGGCACTGAACTGTGACTCTTACCTTATAGTGTTTCTTCCAGGTGATGAGGACAAACAAAAGTTGGGTCAGTGGAGATTTCATCCTGGTTGGCTTCTCAGATCAGCCCCGGCTGGAAAGAACACTCTTCATCATTGTTTTGATTTCTTATCTTCTTACTCTCGTGGAGAATACAATAATCATTCTGGTCTCTTCAATAGACCCTAAACTCAAAACACCCATGTACTTTTTCCTTATGCATCTCTCCCTGGTTGACATCTGTTTCACCACGAGCATTGTCCCTCAGCTGCTGTGGAACCTGCAAGGACCAGCCAAGACCATTACGGCCTGGGGCTGTACTGTGCAGCTCTACATCTCCCTGGCTCTGGGCTCCACCGAGTGTGTGCTCCTGGCAGTGATGGCTTTTGACCGCTATGCTGCTGTCTGCAAACCTCTCCACTATGCAACAGTGATGAACCGGCAGCTCTGCTGGGCTCTGGCAGGAGTCTCGTGGCTCAGTGGGGTAGGAAACGCTCTGATCCAGGGCACCATCACCCTCCGGCTTCCCCGCTGTGGCCACCGATGGCTGCACCATTTCTTCTGTGAGGTCCCCTCCATGATTAAGCTAGCATGTGTGGACATCCGTGCCAACGAGGTCCAGCTCTTTGTGGCCTCACTGGTCCTGCTGCTCTTGCCTTTAGCCCTGATCCTGACGTCCTATGGACACATAGCCAAGGCAGTTATGAGGATTAAGTCAGCCCAAGCCTGGCACAGAGCCCTGGGCACCTGTGGATCTCACTTGACTGTGGTGACCCTCTTCTACGGGAGCATCACAGCCATCTACATCCAGCCTAACAGTTCCTACGCCCAAACCCACGGGAAGTTCATCTCCCTCTTCTACACAGTCATGACCCCGACCCTAAATCCTCTTATCTACACACTGAGGAATAAGGATGTGAACGGAGCTCTGGGAAGGCTCTTTTTCAGAGACCCAGGAGTGTGCAAGCAAAGCAGAGGCCCCGCTTTCTGCGTTTTTATGACAAGAGGATCCTGAACACGGTATTTAGTAATCCTTTCTCAGAGACCTCACAGTCAGCGGCCTCATTGTAAATTATGCTGCCCTGCTGCTTTGCCCTTGGCCTCAGGACACACCTCTGGATTTTTTTCCCAGGATGCCTGGGGGCCTGCAGAAACATCTTTTCACTCTTTGGAAGTCCATGACTTATGACACTTCGTTCTTGGATTCCTGTCCTTTCCTCTCCTCTGAATATGAGCTCACACACACTCCTGATGACACCACAGCATGAGTCTCCTCATCAATATGAAAGCAATTTTCCCACTCTTCACAATGAAAGCCATCTTTTGCCTGGGAAAACCTGGAAAGGTTACACTAGAGCCTTGGGATTTAAGTGTACACCTTCATTTTTGAGCCTGTGAAGTTTTGTTCTCCTCCTCGTCCTCCTCCTCGTCCTCCTCCTCGTCCTCCTCGTCCTCCTCCTCCTCCTCCTCGTCCTCCTCCTCCTCCTCCTCGTCCTCCTCCTCCTCCCCCTCCTCCTCCTCCTCGCCCTCCCCGCCTCCTCCTTTTCTTTCTCCTCCTTTTCCTCAGCCCCCTCCTCCTATTATTATTGCCTCCCTGTAGCCCCAGCTGGCTTGGAACTCACTATGTAAACTAGGCTGACCTCAATCTCACAGAGATCTGCCTGTCTCTGTGTCCTAAATTCTGGGGTTAAAAGCATGGCAAGTTTTACATAATTCTTTATATCTGTGTTTACTTATGAATTAAAAAGTAAAGAATTTCACCCTTATGATAATCAAATTGTAAATTTAATATAAAATTGTGACCTGGTGATTAATAACAAAGAAATAGCATGTTTTCAATCATCTTATCATCCTGGTACTGTTGGTCTGCTCAGGCTTATTGTGTCCAACTATGTCCACTCATAATTCTGAGTAACTTTTGTAACTTTTTTATCTGCCTGCATCTTCATGAATGAAAAACAAATCAATTACTTGAAAATGTGGTCAAAATGTGTTGATCTTTGTTCTTTTTCTTTATAGCATGGAAGGTAACCCATGTGATTTATTTTCTTCATTCAGTTTTAAAAGTATGTTACATTTATTTTTATTAATGACAGCAAAGCAGAGGTATCATTTCCAGAATAGCTGCTGTGAGCATACATGGTGATAATCAACATTTGAACTAAAAGACAAGTCTTGGCTATTTCATTTCTAACTTGATCTCAGGCTATATTTGAGTAGTTAGAAAACACTCCATGAAGAGTTAATATGTAACTTTTGTCACTAATAAACTGTATATTTTCCTAGTAAAACTCAAGCTGTTGGAAGAAGTGGCCTGATGGAAACATGCCTGTTTCCTAGACATAGAGGGTTCCTGATAATAGTCATTATTAATACGTTACACAATCCACTTGTAAAATTGAAGTGGGTTACGTTTGAAACACCTAGAATAAGTTGGTTTGTTGTACAGGAAAATGTGTGCTTTTCATAGACAAGTCAAGATAGTTTTCTATTAGGAGATTTTTTTTTGACTCAGCTTCAACCTAATGATTATGACTCATTTAAGCATATGGTTCCAGGTTTGATTTCCATTATCCCTGATTCCCAGAGTGTGGAGAAGATGTATTCTTCACACTGACATGATTCATAAATACATGACCACAACCATTATTGATTGCACCCTGGTTTTAGTACCCAGTTCACCTCCCAGCATGCAAGGAGTTCATCTTCAATAACTGTATCTCACAAAGTCTTGAATTAAACATTTCCTAGAAAGATGTAGGAGTACAATCCACTATCCACCTGAATAGCTATTCATATTTATGATTTTTCTCATATTTGCTTTTAACACCATGAGCCATATATCACTATTATCGATTTCCTGTTTACATTTTTCTAGCCATCTTGCAATTACTCACATTAAAATTCAATCAATAATAAGTTTATATAAAAGAAAATAAACTGTAGCCAGTGCCTTTAGGACTTTCTTTTTAGGTAAAAACATGAGAAAAAAGAATAGCTCTGCCATAGCATAGCTCAACACATCACCAACTTATTCATGATGCAGACACTAACACCTTATGAGCCACTGTGAGTTCAGCACTGTGATAAGTCAGAAGACACTGGTGTTGTCTACAGTAATGCAATACTACATGCAAAATATTTCATGATGTATAAAATATGAGAAAATGATTTATGTCAAACTACATATAAATTAAATAAGAAAGGAAGTATATTGAGTGTTCAGGTGTTTGAGGAATTAATAGTAAATGATGAGTCTTCCGCTAACTACTGTTACTTTGAAGGCAATAATAAAACTACAAATAGGCTTATTTTCTCCCATATTCCCTTAAAATGTTAACCTCTGAAGGAGGAAATTTCCTTTGGTTCATTGATAAATCACAAGTAATGTGTACAGCAATTAGCACAAAAGCACTGAATGAGCACTTTTGGAACTGTTAGAGTAACTTGAAAATGTTCAAGAAATAACATATTGGGACTGGAGAGATAACTCAGTTGTTAAAAACACTGGCTTTTCTTCCAGAGGGCATGGATTTGATTCCTAGCACCCACATGGCAACTAACAACCATCTGTAACCAGATCCAGAGGCTCTGATACCCTCTCTGGCCTCTGCAGGGCATTGGACACACATGGTACACTTACATGCAGGCAAAGCATTCATACACATAAAATAAAAATAATAGATAAAATATTAAGCAAAAGAAATTCCATAATTTTAAAAGGTAAACAGCTAAGAGACAGGACTTACTTTGTGAAAATACATAACAGGTAGAAAGCAAGATTTTGTTGCTGATGTTCTTGTTGTTGCTTTGGGACAGAGTCCCTCTGTAGCCCCAGCTGCAGTAGAATCAATCTCACAGAGATCTGCCTACCTCTGCCTCCTGTTTGCAGGTATTAAAGGTGTGCATGACCATGCCCAGGTAGAAGTGAGATTTTTTTTTTTAAACAAACATGTATAATTACTTTATTTTAAACTACACACATGGATTACTCTGAGAAATAAATTCGGATAAAAATCCAATTTTGAAAATAAAGGCATAGTAAAGAAATTTGTATTAAACTAGAAAGCTGACATTTTATTTCAGAATGTAAGCATATTTTTACAGTTGTCCTCACTCTATGCATATCCCCTCAGGAAACTTCCCATCACGCATGCAGCGTGCAATTGTTTTTGTCTGATTATAGTTAAAAATATTAAAAGCCATTGCAGGTATAGGTTGATAAATTCACTTGATGAGAACGTTTGTGGCACAAAATATTCTTGCCACTTACCTTCCCTTACCTCTCCATTCTTTCCAAAATACTCTGTGCACATGTGTGGTACAATGTGCAGAAACATGTAATTGTCTTCTTATAAATGTATTTGCTTACATATGTTAATGAGTTAATATTTAATATCTTCTTTACATTTGAAATATCATGTAACTATTTCATATACATGTCATATATATATGAGACAATTCCAACTTTGTAGCTATAGACATATTTTATTAATTTTAATGAATGCATATGATTATGTTATAAATGAATAATTAGCGTCAAGACTGGTCATGTTGTACATCTGGCTCTGTGCTAATGTAAGCAACATGTCAATGTCTGTCTATCTTTGCATGGACCTGTGGGAATCTGCCAGGAGTAACGTCTGTTCCTATGGCATGTGCACTTGTACAGCTGACATATCACCCTATAATTGCTTTCTAGAAGGGACTTTCTAACATGGTGCAAAGAGAAATTCTTTACTCTGACAATTTGCATAAAGATTATCACATTGGGACTGCATATAATTTCTTTACACACATTAAGTATGAATATTTGTATTGTATATTTGTTCTGGTCCTTTGTTATTTCCATTGGATTTTTGGAAATTGTAACAAATGTGAATCCGTGAAGGAGAATGAGCATCAGTTTTTTATGTTTCACAGATGTCCCCTTGGAGTTTGTCTTTACTTTCTGTTTTGTGGTGATGTTTTTGATGCTGTCATTGCTTTTTCACTTTCTTTACTGTAGTCATCGCTACATAAATTTAACCTTTACATGTCAAAGGCATAGATCATTTAAGGGCTTGAAATTTATAATAACATTTGGCCTTTTGAGTGATATTTTTCACTCATTATCTCATTTCCACATTAAAATATTTGTTGTTTGGGATGTATTTGTAGGAGCTTAATTCATGTATTTTCCCATATTTTAAGTGAATGACAAGTCCCACTGTTACTATGGAATGGCCATTACTACCAAAGAGGTCCACTCCTGACAAGTTGGGATCCACATTGTGACACAGAATCTCCAGCTATATGTGCTTCAGCTATAAAACCCCAAACAACAGCTTTTAAAAGCTTTACTTCATATTTTATCGATAGGATCTTGCCATCCAATTCTGGGAGGTAAGGAGGAACGGCAAATACTTGTAATGTGTGAAGGGATCTATGACGCCACACTGACCAACAACTTGACCAAACATAGCTTATCTTGCTACTGTGATTTTTATCGGGTAGCCAGTCACATCTGGGAAAGGCATTATCACCCCATGATCAGGTAATTCCATTTAAACTTCGCTTATATATACATATGTATATTTTAGGACGCTTCTACAGTAGAAGATTTCCATATGGAATTTTCAAACATTTCAGTGTTAGTTATCCTTCCCCATACTGCCTTCTCTAATACACCCCAAGCAAGTTAATTCAGGATGCTTTATCAAAAGAGACATGTTTTGAAAATGTGATATAAAGTCTGACACAAATTTGGCATTTGCAAACAGTTTTGCAAATGGTTCATGCTTGTTATTTTTATTATTACTTCAGAGATAGTACAAAAGAAAAAGTGGTTGATGCAAAGTAGTGAACTTTTACCATGTTTTAATGATATTTCACTGTGTTGAACTTTGACTTTGACTTTAGCGCTTCCAGTTTTGATTTTAGAGTCCAGATTAGTTATTCTTAGTAACTTGGAGGAGGAAAAGCTAGGTAACATTTGGAAGCATTGGTTTGTCCTACTAAATCTGATTTGGGCAA